ACCATTTGGGGGCCCAATCAACAAAATTTAATTTTTGTGCTTCACATTTGCCTTATAGTCAACGTAACCTGAAGCATGTGATTATAAGGTTGGAGAACTCTCGGATGTACCCAGTGGCTCGTTTTTAACACTTAAAACATTTTCTAGCAGAGAGGTTTGGTTTTATCTCTTTTATATAATTGCGAAATTTCCTTCTGGAATATTGCTTTGAACTATTTCTAGCCTCACCCACACACTAACGAATCCATTTCGTGTTTTAACAATAAACTCTATTAGCCAAAACAATTGCACTTTGGCAAAATAATTTTCTATTACACTAAAAATAAAATTGCTATATAATTGCTTGCAAAAAAAAATCTAGAGGAGAGCGAACTTTTAATTTGCAATGCGTTAAAAAACAAGAATACCACTTAACAAGTTTTATCTTGAATAGCGGTGAACAGCGATGGTATGACAGATTCTGTCTTTCACATCTGACGCTGGCCCATAGAATGGCTGCTGGAAATCCCTTTACTTCAAACAAACAATACAAAACACTTAAACAACCCAGAAAACAACAGCAATTTGGTTGCAGCAGCAACAGTGAAATTCCGTTGCTCCATGGCAGACCATCAACATTTTCAACTGCTTTTAGGAAGGTTTTTTGTTTTTGGCCAAAAAAAATGCTATCCTTGACCATAGAAAACAATGCCCAGCCTTTTGTGTAAGGCTGAGTTAACAACTGTTTTTTAGAGCAATGAGTTCCCTGTTTTTTCCCTTCTATCTTTGTCTTCAAAGGCAAAAAAAAGGCCACACCAATTGCTGTGTGGTCGTTTGTGTGTATGTGTGAGTTTTGAAAACAACAATATAACACGCAGCAATTTACACTTTTGTTTCCCTGTTTCCTTACTGCGGGATGGAAGTAGAAACTCTGGAACAATTTGTTTTCTACAAACGGTTTTGTATTCATTTTGTTGGGGGAAAAACTCTTTTTTTTGGTGTTGTCCAACAAATAAAAAATATTTTCCCGCTTATCACAAAAGTTCATTAAGTGTTGACCAAAAAACGCAAACTTCTTCTTCGTTGGCCTCTGTGTGAACGAAATTAATATCAAAAGTTAAAAAACTCTGTCATTTTATTAACAAAGAGCAAGGAAAAAAGGAAATATTGTCCTGCAAGGGAAATTCCAAAACAAATGGCAATGGTAGTTACTTTTTTATTTTTTGTTTCCGATTTTTAAATTAAATGAATGTATGTGTTAGATTGATAAATTAAGTTATGGAGGTTTAACAATCAAGGGAATTGCAATTTTCGAATTCCGAAAAAAGGAAAGTTGGTCTGAATTGTGCTAGGTTTATGCTCAATTGAGCCGATTTTTTTTTTCAAAATTCGAAAAAATTTCTGAGATATTCGAAAAAAGATTTTTTTCAAAAAAATCTGAGACAATTGCAATTTTCGAATTTAAAATTGTACTGAGTTGTACTCGGTTTGTGCCCATTTATGCCGTAAATTATTTCGATATCTTCTACCAATTTCAAAAAAAAACGACAAATTCGAAAGTAGGCCAGAATTGTAATTTTCGAATTTCGAAAAATTAGGAATTGTGCTGTGTGCTTTTTTTTGACGAAAAATTGTGCTAAGTGAGTACAACTCAGTGCAATTTACCACATCTCAAAATTTGAATTTTTACAACAATAACAGCAATTTTTCTGAAAATACTGTTTTTTTCGAAATTGTTATATCATTAAAACGGTTAAGATATTGAGAATAAAACGGCACAATCAAGCACAACTCTTAATTTTCGAAATTCGCAAATTGCAATTTTGGCATACTTTCGAAACTGTCGTTTTTTCGGAATTGGTAAGAGATATCGAAAAAAATTTTTAACGGCACAAATGGGCACAAAACGAGTGCAACTCAGCACAACTTTAATTTTTTCTAAATTCGAAAATTGCAATTCTCAGAATTTTTTTCGAGGGTCGAAAAAATCGGCCCAATTGAGCACAAACCTAGCACAATTCAGCACAACTTTCCTTTTTTCAAAATCCGGAAAATTGCAATTCCAACGGACACCACATCGCTAGTTAGACACACAGAGTACTGGCGGTGGGCGTATGATTGTTGCAAACATTGAGTAATGTATCTCATACGTACAACGGACCTACGACGATCATTTAATTTTTTATTTACAGAACAACACAAGCAAAATTACAGGAAAAATCCAGCAGATTATATAGAGTGTAGGACACGTATAAACGGTCGTTTGGAAGTTACATCGCAAAGTAGCCGGAATATAGGAGACACGTTCCCGAATTAACCAAATTGTTCTTAATTTTTGAATTAAGATTCCCTGAAATCCATTCATTCGCCATAATTTTTACATTTTTTTTTTTTTAAATTTTATTGAATGAAATCAAAAAATGTCGGAGGAAATAGAATCAAATTTCAGAATAATTTGAATTGGTCCACCTTGGCACGAATTATGGCCTTCAAACGGCCCAATGAACCGTCACACGCTGCCCGAATGTTGCTCTGAGGTATTTCGTACCATTCCCGGCGAAGCGCTTACTTGAGGTGATCGACACTTTAGTATTTTTAGTGCCAACCTAGGCTTTCCAAATACTCCAGACACAATAGTCCAACGGATTGGTATCCGGAGATTTTGGTGGCTATTGTGCCCTGGAATTAAGTGAGGAACCTCATTTTGTAACCATTCTTGGGTGGCGCATGCTGAGTGCTATGGTGCTGAGTCCTGTTGGAATGTCCAAGGTCTGCGGCCCCAAAAGTTTTGCGTGCCCAAGGCTTAATACACCCTCCAGAATATGTTTGCGACAACTATTCGGCATTATTCTGATGCCACGGTCGATTAATATTGACCATCGGCTGTTATTGCGGCCCACACCATCACCTAGCCGGCTCTTGAGTTCTGATGGCTAACCGAAGGTGCACATTTTCAGCTGACCTCTTGGTAAGTAAACGCTATCATTTTTTGTCTACAAACTGATGGATAACGAATGTTTTCTCATCAGAGCGGAGAAAACCAAATTCGGCAGTTCACAACTTTCGGCCAGCGGAGGAACTCTTTAGCTCTTTTGTGTCTGTTTTCTTTCTGTTGGGGTGTAAGTTCTTGCACCTTTTGGAATTTCAAGGGCTTTTCCCCGAGCTTATTTTCCCAAATTTGGCGTATTGAATATTGTGATATGTTCAGCTCACGAGCCATTTTTCGGCCACTGCGATGCTGGTTTCGATCAAGTCGCTTACTTACTTTTCGAACCATTTCTGCTGATGTTGCTGTTTTCTACCGTCCACTTCCATGACGTTGGGCTACTCTACTAGTATCACGGTAACGATGAATTCACATTCAAATGCTGAAGTGCTCTAACGATAGCCACTTGTGGTTTTCCAGCCAAATGTAAAGAAATCAAACTATCGCGCTTGAATTCCATCACGAATAACTTTTTCTGGAAAATTCTCACCAAAATGCTTTTGTACGCTTGTAACTAATATAATGAGCTGTCACTGGAACATTTTTAACAGCTGTCGGACGAGTGGCTTATTAAATGACAGCAGTCTGAAGTTGGTTGCAGTTTTTATACCCTCCACCATACTATGGTGGGTAAATTAACTTTGTCATTCCGTTACATGTTTTTTTTTTGCCAGTAGGCAGGTTAAGTTCGTACATGGGTCATGTAGGTCCACGTTTCGTATAGCCCCTATATAACGGTACCTCCCGATATTCCGCATTTGATGATTTTAGCGACATTATTCACTGGAACCGTTTCAAGTTTGGCATTTGAAGTTCGAAATGGATACTACAGCCTAAGACAGAAAATTGTCTGTGCAGATCCACGTCTTCGTATAGCCTCCATATAACGGTACCTCCGGTATTCGGTATTTTCATGATTTTAGCGTCATTATTCACCGGAGTAGTTTCAAATTACGTATCTAGAGTTCGTAAAGGGAACTCCAGTCTGTGACAGAAAATTGTCTATGCAGGTCTAGGTCTTCGTATAGGCCCCGTATATCAGTACCTCCCTATATTCGGCATTTTGACGATTTTAGCAACAATATTCATAGAAATTGTTTGAGATGTAGTATTTGAAGTTTCGTAATGGATGCTACAGACTGTCACAGAAAATTGTCTATGCAGGTCCAGATCTTCGATATGGTACCTCCCTGTATACGGTATTTTGATGATTTTAGCCACATTATTCACCGTTTATTTCAAGTTCATGTTTATTTCGTATATACACCAATATAACGGCTATATTTGGTATTTTTTAAGATTTTAGCAGTAATTTTAAGGGATTTTATTTTTTTTTTCGAAAATTTCCGAATTCGTTCCAAATGGTGGAGGGTATTCAAAGTTCGGGCCGGCCGAACTTTTGCTTTTTAACTTGTTTCATGTCACCCTGGATATAGATGTAAAATGGACCACAACAACTAACAACACGACGGAGTGCTAAGGTTAATATCTGTGCAGTGCTCTATGACATTATTTCAAAAGCGAAATCTTCCAAAATGGAATTGGACTTCTAACATATTGTAGTGTTGTAGGATATCGACCCCATACGACTATAGCCTTTGCTTACTTGTTTAACCTGCAGTCATATGAAATTATGAATACTAACGCTTATTTTTTTGTACAAGGCATTTTATGGTTCTATGACATATCAGATCTCCATGAAATTTTATTACCTTCTTAAGGCCAAATATTTACATGTTATTTGTTTCGCTAATTGCCCCATTTGTTGACATTTTTAATGGCGTTAAATGACTTCAGTTAAGATGGCACTACCAACATTGTGGTGGTTAACCTCTTTTGGCAAACATTTGATGGCAATATTTTATGGTTATTTACGCCTTACATGCAACAAAGTATTTTCGTGGAAAATCTTAAAAACACCAATAACACGTGTTTTATTGAAGCTAATAAATCGCAACCTACACCATTTAATATTTATTTACTCAAATCAACAAATATTCGGCAATAAAATTCGGCTAAGAAAGCCTCTACTCACCTCGACCGCTTCGCCCCACAAAACGTAAATCGTTAAATTTGGCCACCTGATTCTTCATTACCGCCGTTGAGTTCCGCAGCTCTGCACAGTAGTTCTCATCGTTGCCCGCTCGCACCGTCACCATTGTCCCGTCCATAATATCGCCCAGCGAAACAACTTTAAATGCCACCGGTAATGTCTTGTTCGAACGCCAGTGCGGCGGCAGCACGGTACACACAAACAACGGGCTACTGGTTCGTATCAATTCACCCGGATGTTCGGTAAGAAAATCGCCCAATGTACGTTCGGCCAAAATATCCGAAGTCATTTTTGTGTAGGCCTCATTGAGCAGTTGAGCTGCTGTGGCGGAGTATTTTGTTCTGTGGAATTGTTATTGTTACCATTCGAACTGTTGTTGGTATTTGTGTTATTCGAACTCGCGTTGTTGTTATTCTGTGTATTCGAATTGTTGTTGTTGTTGCTGTTCGCAGTATTGGAGGCGGCCGTGTTGTTGGCATTGTTGGCCCCACCTCCACCATTTGTTGTCGTCGTGAGATGCATTTTTGCCTCAAAGTTGTTCACTTTGTGGTTGGAATGCAGCGCTGCAGTTGCTGGCGTTGGATAGTGCTGCGTGCTGTGCTGCTGCTGCGGCTGTTGGTGGTGGTGGTGTTGGGTGCTTTGGCCGTAATTGGCGGCAACGACTTGTTTGAAACGCACAATTTTTGTAGAGTTCTGGGCAACGTCTGGAGAAAGAAGATCAATTTTTAATTTCTTTGGGGGAAATTAATTTTCAATTTGAAGATTTGATGCAGATTTTTGTTTCACGGATGCTTTGCGGATTTAGAGAAGCGCCATCTGCAAGAAAAGATACAAAATTAAATAAATTAATTAAAATTAAAAAACAGGAAACAAAATAATTTGTAAAAATTGAGACCATAATCGGCTCGAATACAAAGACCGTCATGTAGCTCGTCAGTGGGGTATTTCCCTCTAAAAACTCTCTTAGGACGACTTTGTGGTCCTCTGAAGAAACGGACTTTCCGTCCTCTGGTGGTCTATAGAGACGACTTGTTGATCATCTATAGCAACGACTGTTTGTTTGTCTATAGAGACGATTTTTTGGTCGTCTGTAGAGACGACTTTTAGGGTTGTCTATGGAGACGAGACGGTTTCAAAAGTCGTCTCCCATAGACGACTTTTAAAGTCATCTATGGAGACGACTTTTGAAGTCATCTATGGAGACGACTTTTGAAATCGTCTATGGAGACGACTTTTGAAGTCGTCTATGGAGACGACTTTTGAAGTCATCTATGGAGACGACTTTTGAAACCGTCTAAGGAGACGACTTTTGAAGTCGTCTATGGAGACGACTTTTGAAATCATCAATGGAGACGACTTTTGAAGTCGTCTATGGAGACGACTTTTGAAGTCGTCTATGGAGACGACTTTTGAAGTCATCTATGGAGACGACTTTTGAAATCATCTATGGAGACGACTTTTCAAGTCATCCATGGAGACGACTTTTGAAGTCATCTATGGAGACGACTTTTGAAATAGTCTATGGAGACGACTTTTGAAGTCGTCTATCGAGACGACTTTGAAGTCGCCTATAGAGACGACTTTTTAAATCGTCTATGGATACGACTTTTGAAGTCGTCTATCGAGACGACTTTTGAAATCATCTATGGACACGACTTTTGAAGTCGTCTATGGAGACGACTTTTGAAGTCGCCTATAGAGACGACTTTCAGGTCGTCTATGGAGACGACTTTTAAAGTCGTCTATGGAGACGACTTTTGAAGTCGTCTATGGAGACGACTTTTGAAGTCGTCTATGGAGACGACTTTTGAAGTCGTCTATGGAGAATACTTTGAAGTCGTCTATGGAGACGACTTTTGAAGTCATCTATGGAGACGACTTCAGGTCGTCTATGGAGACGACTTTTGAAGTCATCTATGGAGACGACTTTTGAAGTCATCTATGGAGACGACTTTTGAAGTCGTCTATGGAGACGACTTTTGAAGTCGTCTATGGAGACGACTTTTGAAGTCGTCTATTGAGACGACTTTTGAAGTCATCTATGGAGACGACTTTTGAAGTCATCTATGGAGACGACTTTTGAAGTCATCTATGGAGACGACTTCTGCAGTCATCTATGGAGACGACTTTTGAAATCGTCTATGGAGACGACTTTTGAAGTCGCCTATAGAAACGACTTTTAAAGTCGTCTATGGAGACGACTTTTGAAGTCATCTATGGAGACGACTTTTAAAGTCGTCTGTGGAGACGACTTTTGAAGTCGTCTATGGAGACGACTTTCAGGACGTCTATTGAGACGACTTTTAAGGTCGTCTGTGGAGACGACTTTTGAAGTCATCTATGGAGACGACTTTTTAGTCGATAATAGAGACGACTTTCAGGTCTTCTATAGAAATGACTTCCATGTCGTCTATAGAAACGACTTTAAGGTCGTCTATAGAGACGACTTTAAGATCGTCAATAGAGACGACCTACAACAGCTCGTCTATGGAGAGATAACCTACACAGCTCGCCTATGGAGAGACGAGTTTCAGCTCGTCTAGAGAGAGACGAATTTCATCTCGTCTAGAGAGAGACGGGTTTCAGCTCATCTATGGTGGCGATTTTCGCTCGCCTAGGCTCTTTTCAGCTCATCTATAAGGTATCCCCAACATCTATGAGGATTCCCCTTTGCTCATCTATAAATGTTCTCTTCAGCCGCTTTATAGAATCTCCATTTAGGATGATCCTTAGCTCCTTTATGATGACTCCCTCCAGCTTGGTTATGCAAATACCCTTCAACATTTCTATACCGTACCTTCCTACCCATTTATGTTCAATGTTTTCAACTCGTCTACAGAGTTTTTAAATTAAAGTATCGATTTACATTCTCTCTTTCCTTTCCTTGGTTCCTCCTCCCCTGTGTTTCGTTGACTCGAGCTATTTCGTTGGAAATATAATAAGGGTCAAACATTTTAATAATATTTGAAATTCTTTTACTTTGTCCAGACTTACGGTTATTAAACCAGTTATTAAACGTTTTTATGTAACCAATTTCGCCAGTCGCTGTCATGGACAAATAAAAACAAATAACCAACCTCTGATATTAACAACACATGTGGTATGTTTTACGTTTATGGAGAGACAAAAAAACATCCTTCTAAGGTCAAACTCCAATTAAAACTTAACTACAACGGTGAAACATAGCTGAAAAGACACACACACACACATTTCGCAGAGGTAGAACAATGGTCCTTTAGCCATGTTCTCGTTTTAAAATATTCATTTTTTTTAGATACCACCTCTGTAGCCCTAACATCCTAGTAAATCCTTTTCTCTATTCCCAGCCAAAGGACAAAATGCGGCAAAAAAACGTAGAAAAATGTCAACTCTAGTAAATTGATACCACTTCCGTGGCAAAAGAAGGGCCATTTAACACTGCACACTAGTGTTGGCAGTTCGTCTTGTTACTCCCTGTCGGTTACAGCACAAATTTACATCAATTCGAACAAGGACCACGACGACTACGGAAGTCACGAAACCATCAATTTTGATTTAACAAAGTCAAAGTGTTCTCTGTGACCCCAGGTTGTTAAGTTCCTCCGCGTGAGATGGCCGTTGGCATGATAATACAGGCAACAGTTTGAGGTATAGAGCTCTTAAACACTCTGGCATCAAATCAAAAGGTGACAAACCGCGTTTTTTGTCCTTGGTTTTGTTTTGTCGCGTATCATCGCCAGGATTTGGCGGCTGGGATATGTCGTTTTTCAAAATTGACATTTTTGGTTTTGGCTCTACCCCCAATCACTCCGTGGCTATGAACCCTAGTCACTGTCGAACATAAAGTATTACCAACACTTTCAATAGGGCTTAGACGAGAGACGAAAAAAAATTGTCAGAGACCACCTCCTCCCCTAAAATAGACAAGGCACGGTATCTGTGATGCTTAAATTGAGGTTTGATTCCAAAAGAACCATTTAATATCTTGTGGTATGTTGATGTTATTTTGGCTAGAATACCAGAATATCATTCAATGAATTAGAAAAAATATAGACCATCACACACTCCACCCGCACCCACCCACACATAGTCTGTCTCTGTGTCAGACAGATACCAACACTCCCATACTTGTTTTTTTCTGGCGATTTATGGTGAACAAACAACCAAAAAGAAAATATATTTTTTCGGCGTTTTATGTCATTCCATTTTGGTGTGTGTTTTTCTCATTGAAATTGAATGTGTTTTTTTGGTGTCGCATGGCCATTTGTTGGCCAAAAATCAAACCAACAAATGTGGCCAAAAAGTTTTAATTTCGCCATGAATTTGGTTGTTGTTCTTCACATTTGGGTTGCGAGGCTAAAAATAGAAAATTCGTTTTGTAAAATTTTGAATATTTGAAATTCTTAGATCATTGGCTTAAAATCTAAAGAGGTGGCTGGATTTGGGGTCAATATTTATAGAAAGGAATCCATGTAGAGGTGCTGAAGGAGCTTGGAGACCTAATATTAGCAATAAAAAAATAAGAATCAACGAAAAAAATTGAGAGTTTAGCAATGTTTGAATAAAATAGCGGACATATTTTATTGACGAACGAAGGGAAAGTATGACATACAGGCTATTTTAGACCAGCCTGAACGTATTTGTCTTATTTATTTATCCTATATCTATAATGCTCGGAAGGATTTACTAAGCCCATAGCATAAACATCTAAACACAAGCAATTTAAATTAAATTTTTTTTTTTTTTTTTTGGAAAAATTTAAGACCTTTCGAAACGGCCACCAGATTCGCATAACTTTAAATTTTTTTTATAAACTTATCCATGATTGCCAAGAGAGTTAAGAAAGAAAAAACTAGCCTTCATAGCCTAACTAATTTTTTAAGGACAGCTGAAGGGGGACTTTCCCAATGGATCGAGTGGAATTTATAGAAGAACTCAATGAATTTTAAGGACGAGTTGAATGGATCTTTATATATGAAGAGAGGGAAGTAGAACCTAAATACAAACAGCCCAAATGATAATGGGCTTAGAAAATAAAACAATATTTTTATACTCTACAACCCTGTGCTAAGGATAATGAGAGATTTTTGGTACAAAAATTATGTAACACCTCGAGCATCTGCTTGGACAAAGGATATTACATATGGATCTTCCTATGTGTTCATCCGCAGCAGAAATGATTCGAAGAGTAAAGAAGCGACTTGATCGAAACCCGCGTCGCAGTGGCCGAAAAATGGTTCGGAATCTGAACATATCGCAATATTCATTCGGCAAATATTGAGAAAAGAGCTCGTGGTAAAGCCATTGAAATTCCAAAAAGTGTAAGAACTTACACCGCAGTAGAAAGAAAATAGACTGAAAGAGCCAAAGAGTTGCTTCGCTTGGCCGAAAGTGGTTAACTGCCGAATTTGGTTTTCTCCGATGTGAAAAGATTCTTTGTCTAGCAGTTTGTAAACCAACAAAATGATCGTGTTTACTTGCCAAAGAGGTCAGCTGAATATGTGCACCTTCGGTTGGCCACCAGAACTCAAGCGCCGGCCATGGTGATGGTGTGGGCTGCCATAACAGCTGATGGTTCTCGCCATAAAAGTCCGCTCGTATTAATCAACCGTGGCATCAGAATAAATACCGAATGTATTAAAGCCTTGGGCACGTAAATTTTTGGCCGCAGAACTTGGCTATTCCAAGAGGACTCAGCACCATCGCGCTCAGCACGCGCCACCCAAGAATGTTTACAAATGAGGTTCCTCTCTTCATTGGCCATCAAAATGTCGGGATACCAATCCGTTGGACTATTGTATCTGGAGTATTTTAGAAAGCAAGATTGGCACTAAAAAATACCAAAGTGTCGATCACCTCAAGCAAGCGCTTCGCCGGGAATGGGCCAAAATACCGCAGAGCAACATTCGGGCAACGTGTGACGGTTTCATTGGACGTTTGAAGGCCATAATTCGTGCCAAAGGTGACCAATTCGAACAAATCTAAACTTATTCTAAAATTTGATCCTATTTCCCATATTTTTTGCTTTTATTCAATAAAATTTAAAAAAAATTGTTGCAGTTTTTTTTATCTCACCCTGTATATTCCATAATCCTGTCAAATATTAGCTTGAAATAAATATTTAGATATGCCAATTTTGAAGGAAATCGCTAAATTGAGTCGTATGTCTTGAGAGATATATGATATTGACCCTTTGTGAGGGAGGTATCAAAAGAGGTTAACCGATATCTCTCATCTTCAGTTGGGGTTAGTAAGAATTTTCAGATGTTTGACATTTATAGGGAATATTAGATGCTTATTTCACATTTTATGAGCGCCAATGTTTTATATAATTCTGACCCGATGTAGGGAAGGTACCGGAAGGGGTAGGCTGATATCTATAGTATTCACGTCAAAACATGTGTTAGTAAATATATTGGGATATGTGAAACTTGATATAATTCTAAATTTTGATTCATTGTGTGGTGGTACAAAAAGGATGTGTATTTTTTTTTTTTTCTTTTTTTTATGAGGGTTATGGATATTAACGATTTAGACACGTTTGGGGAAGGTACCAGAAGGAGTGGCCTGATCTATGCCATCTTCAAACAACATCCGTAGTTGGTAAAAATATGGGTATTTGGAAATAAGAAGGTAATCGGACTCTTCTTTCACTTTTAGAAGGTATTCAAAGGAGTGGGCCGTTATTGTCCATTTTCGCACCTTGTCTAGCACTAATACAAATATTATGATTTGTAAAGTAACATAACATCGGATGATCATTTCTTCTTGACCTTTGTGGGGGAGGTATCAGAAGGAGTGTGTCTATATTGCCCATCTCAGAACCTGATCTAAGTTTAACAATAATATTACAATGTACCAAGAGAGTTATCGAAGGCACCAGCCAGCCAGATGGGCGGACAATCCTAGATCGACTCCAAATGATTTGAAACGAATTTGGTCCAAAGAGAACAATTATTTTGCCATATCAAATGATTTATCGCTATATAGCTGAGGGTATATATATGGTGAACGAATTTTCAGGGGCAGTGAACCGATATGAACCATCTTTGAACTCGACTGAAGTTAGATAAAATGGTTAGTGGATTGGATACTGCCTCGGGAAGACCAACATATAGACTCCAAATGTACTCAAACGGGTTTCATTCAGGCATATTCTCAATACCAATATGTCCATGAGATACACTTTGGCTATATCAAAGGCCCGCCCTTATCGATACGTTTGAGAATATTATAGGAATTTCAAAAATATTTTTTCCTGACACAAAAAGTACTCTTGTTAGGTTCTTACATCGCTTCATTAAAAATTCGTTTCGGCCAATAAGTTATAATTTTTGGGCTTACCTTTTTAACCCCTCCAATACACAGCATTTGTTAAATTTCCCCTAATATTTTAAATTTATTCGAAATATATACAACTAAATTTATAAAAACTAAATTGTGAGCTATAATTCTCATAATAGATCTCGATCTAAATTTCATCCAAACAGATCGGACAATGCTAGAGGGACTCAAACTGTGGCTTTTGTCCAATGTGACAACTTACATATTTTAAAGGTCCATTCAAGGATTTAATTTTTAACTCAATTAAAATTTCCTTTCGGCCTTTTATGGAGCGCTTGCCAAACACCGTCCATTAGGCAATTCACCACACTTACACGCGGTCGTAGTTTTGTGTCTAAAACTCAACGTCGATCAGTAGACTCCCCACTTCTTCGCTTGTTCGCTTGTTTACCAACAACAAATTTGTTTTGCGGACAGACAGTAGCTGTTTGAGAGAGTTACTCTCTCTATTTTCATGTCTGTAAAACATACACAATTAAAGCTTTTGTATTGGTAATTGTTGGCTAGCCCTGCTTAAATACAGCATTTCTTAAATATTTTCCTCTATTTGTCTTTATAGTCTTCCCCTCTCCCTCCATTACCCATATATCAAATTTAAACAACTCGTGCAAATGCAATAATTTTCCCCAAAAATATCCACTTAAATTAAAAACAACCGAACTGCAGAGCCTTGATTAATGTATATCGGATATAGGCCACAATTATGTGTTTAAGCCAAACAAAGATGTTTGGAACATAATTGTAGAGGCCAACACACACACGTACATAACATCCTCATCGTCACTCAACACATAAACATATCCTGGTTAAGGACAATAATGATCTTCGTAAAACCTGACAAGTCTGTACACACAATGTGGTTGGACCCGGAATGGACCAGGAACAACATGCAAGCAAAAACTACCAAAAACAAAAAAAAACAACATATTTTGGGTAACCAAACAATGTTCCTTTGGAGCAGCTGCAACAACAAAAAAAAAAACGGAAAGAAAGAGAAAAATTGGAAATCCTTTAGGCACTTCTACAAGGAGACAAAAAGTGCACTTTGTTGCATCGTTGCAATCCTCACAAATTACGACCATTTAAAGTCATCTGCCTGATGTTGTTTTCTTGTTTTAGTAAAGATTTAAGGCAGGCAGGCAGGTCGGCACCGATAGTCCTTGTGTGCTGCAAGCAGCCTATCACTGGCTCATTGTTTGCCAGAAATTGCAGGCCATTGGCAATGGAAGAAGGAAATGGCCATGCCTTGATACAAACCTAAATTGCCATATTAAGTTTGGTAATTGGTAGCATTTCTTGGTGTGGCCATTAAATGCATTTTGTGCATTGAAACGTCGGACATGTGGAACATGCACCATACTACTGCAAGGAGGAGAGGGGGGAAGTATGGCCTTAATGTGAAATCTTGACTGGAATGTTCGTAAAGATGTTCTACTCTTGTATTTGACTTTGTTGTCAACATGCCGGACACGGACATGCAAGGCAGGAATGCTGCGGGTGTTTGTTGCTGTTGGTAGCCCTCTAAAAGGATTGTTGTTTTGCCGGTGACAGAGGTGGCTTTGGTTTTTGCGGTAATAACCTTGATGGTAACTGTATTATGGACAACACAATCTCGCATGGCCAGACGGTTAGGCCATAGGCATGGCTGTTGCATAGATCCCCAACACGATGAGGTCTAATGCGAAATTGCATATCTTGGCATAGAATTGTTGGGCAACCTCTGTTGGCCATCTTTGCATTCGTCGAAAGCCAAATGATTGTTTTTCATTTCTTTTTCGTTGGCCAAGAGAAGGAGAGGGACTAGGGGGAGTTTGCCAAAATCAACTGGAACGTTTGGTCAATTCACTTGTTGTAGACATCGCCATCATCGTCACAGTCATCGTCGTGTTCCACAATCACCTAGCAGCTTGTCTTTGGTTTTGTCAAACAGACGAGCGATTGCTGTTTTGCCCCGCATCCATCACCCACGCCATGGTGGTCGCGTCTAGATGCCGCATTTAAGCTGCATTGTGGTAACATTGACAAACACTTTATGGTCTTTGGGTGCATTCGCATGGCGTGGTGCGTGCCGTCAAGAGGCCTAAAGATGTCAGGTCTCTAACAGAAAGCAAAAACCAAGCCAAAGCACACTTTCGGTTCTGAAGTTCTGCCAGTGTTTTAGGGGAGAATTCCATTTAACTCCAAGAGAAATGACGTTGTGAGTTTGTGTGCATACATGTGTGGTGCTGATGGTGGTGGTATGGCTTGTCAACTGCAATAATGTTTGGATTTTGAGTTACATCCTTGGCATTTTCATTTGCTCCCTCCGCATTGAAAGCATTGTCCCGAACACTGACCAAGAATGACGTACTTCTAGGGGTACACAATTAAGATTTTTAGAACTTAATTGTTTTTTGTTTTGCCCTCCCCATTTTGAGACCAATGAAGTTGACCAGCAATGAATGCGGATGCTTGGGTTTCCTTGGCCAAACTTTTTGCATGTGCATCTGTGTGTGTTTGAGCGAGTGATGGAAATGCAATTTCCATATGGTATCGCTGGCTGTGTGATAAAGGCTGTTTAAATTTAAAAGGGGAAAATGAGCACAGGGGCTTGCTTGGAATTGGCGATTTTCAAAATACGAGGATGCGGGAAAAGGGGGGGGGGGGGGGTGAAGGCTGAATAAATGCTCCATTATATTTTCTGGATCACAAATTTATTGGCCCTTCATTCATCACTCTCCTCCTAAGAATAGAAATTAGTCCTCTGAATGAAGATGAAGGCCCCAGGAAACGAAACGAAAGGGGTTCCGGGCCATTCACCACATCTATGAATGGTCCTGTCCACTTCATCTTATATATGATGGTCCTGCCCACTTCATCTTATCTATGAAGGGTCTTCGGTCCTTCATCTTATCTATGAAGGGTCTTCGGTCCTTCATCTTATCTATGAAGGGTATTCGGTCTCCTTCATCTCTTCTATGACGGGTCCTCGACTTTTCATCTTTTTACCTCACTTATAAGTGTCTTCGGCCCATCATCTAATTTATGAAGGGTCGTTGGTCCTCATCTCTACTATGAAGGTATTCGGGCCTTTAGCTCCTCTATGAAAGGTATTCGGTCCTTCAGTTCGTCTATGAAGGCTCTTCGGGGCTTGATCTCATCTACAGATGGTATTCGGCCCTTTATATCACCAATGAAGGATGCTGGGCCCTTCATCTAAGAAGGGTGCTGGGCCTTTCATCTATGAAGAGTGCTGGGCCCTTCATCTCATCTATGAGTTGCTTTCGGCCCTTCATCTCGCCTGTGAAGGGTCTTCGGCCCTTCATCTCGTCTGTGAGGGTCTTCGGGTCTTCTCGCCTCTGATAGATATTCGGCCCTTCACCTCGCCTATGATAGATATTCGACCCTTCATCTCGCCTATGAAGGCTCTTCGGCCCTTCATCTCGCCTATGAAGGCTCTACGACCCTTCATCTCGCCTATGAAGGCTCTTCGGCCCTTCATCTCGCCTATGAAGGCTCTACGGCCCTTCATCTCAGTTATGGAGAGTCTCCGGCCCTTCATTTTGGCTATGAGGAGTCTCCAGCCTTTCATCTCGCCTATGAAGGCTCTTCGGCCCTTCATCTCATTTGAGAATTCTCTTCGACTCTTGACCCCATCTCTTAAGAGTTTCAGCCCTTCATCTCATCTATGAATGGTCTTTGGCCCTTCATATCGCCTATGAAGGCTCTTCGGCCCTTCATCTCGCCTATAAAGGCTCTTCGGCCCTTCATCTCAGCTATGAAGGGTCTCAGGCCCTTCACCTCAGCTATGAAGGTTCTTCGGCTCTTCATTTCGCCTGTGGAGACTCTTCAGCCCTGCATCTGACTTATGAAAGGCTCTTCGGCCCTTCATCTCAGTTATGTAGAGTCTCCGGCCCTTCATTTTGACTATGAGGAGTCTCCAGCCCTTAATCTCATATATGAAGAGTCTCCGGCCTTCATCTCATTTGAGAATTCTCTTGGCTCTTAACCCATTTCTTAAGAGTTTCAGCCCTTTATCTATCCAATATATTTAGGAACGAAAGATCTGGTGTGAAGATAGGTGTATCGGTCCTCCTTTCTTGTACACCACAAAGGGTATAAAAGTAAAATTTGAAAAATATATATCTCTGAATTGCGAAATAAATTTCAAACTTGCATATTCCAATATTTATTCTAACACAAGATCTGTAAAGATGATATAGTCAGCCCACCCCTTCTGGTACATCCCCCACAAGGGTAACAATGTCTCACATAACTTGCGATACAAGTCAAACTTGGTCTGTCTTAATATTTTTCTTGTTTGAGAGTTAAAGTGTTTGGCCAAATAATACTCGTATGCTATCTGTAATATCGGCAAAGACACTATATACCTAAAGTGCAGGGTGTTCAAGAATTCTTAATCCGAAATGTTCAAAAAAAATCTGGTGGGCATGGCAAAACCACCCCATTTCCAGTTACTTACGATATTAACTCTCAAACAGACTGTTCTCTACTATTACCTCCACTTTCATAATCTACTGAGTTTTCTGTACTAACAATTAGTTTACTTACTTCTGGTATGTACTATCAACTTCTGCAGGAACGGGAAATCTACTATTTATTGCAACATCTGGCAATACCTTTTGGCGTATTCGGAAATTGTTATCGATCCACAACAATTTACGTTGTTATCATTCGACGAACAGGTTGGTGAAATCTTAAACGGTATGGTTCAATGAATTAAAATTTCATTGCATTATCAGGAATGAAAGAATATTTATACTTACCCCATCCGTGGCATTGCCGCACATTGTGGTAAATTGATGTTGCACAATAAATCTGGCCCACAATCACCAATAGCGCTCGTTGAGGGGTATTTGTGCCCAGACACAGGGCATAGGTATTACGACCTGTACAAGCAAACGTCTGAGTTGCATCACCAACATTACAACTACCACAGGTTGGCGCAATGTTCGATGATCGGGGTTGGCATGTCACTGTCGAGGCTGTCGAGCAAATGTAATCCGGCGGGCAGGAATTTATAGATCCCGTAGCTACATTATTCGCACATATTTGATACTGCGTCTCTGAAACACACGCTATTTGCGTCGCAGTGGAGCAGTCGTTGCATTGGCCTTCGATTTGTAGAAAAGTGCAAAGAAAAACTGTAAGGAGCTGAATAATTACTTTTAGTTCAGAATTTTTAATATATATATTTTTTTAGTCTACATACTATTTCAAATTTCTTTAGCTGAACTGCCATTTTCGCACTTTAGATATCTACTAAGTGACTTGTTTTTGTTCATGTTGATTTTATTCAAATTTTTTACAAACATTCGTTATCTTTATTGTCCTGTTGATGCCCGAATTCAAATAATTTATTAGAGTAATAGTATTGTCAAGGTTCTTCAACACAAGGTGGATTTTATCAATGGCCAGATCCAGTTCTCATATCTTGGGGTTGAAAGTGCTTGTTTACTGGCAGATTTTTTTCCATAAGTCGTTATATTATAATAATTCGGATTTAAAGTGTATTTGTCTTGCTAACCTTGACCAGCAAACTTCAGAAATTGTGATGTTTAATTTCTTTAAGTCTACACAAGTCAAACTAAGAATATTGAATTAACATCATAATACAAGAAAGTGAAGGTGACTATAGCCTGGACTATAGACTGGACGGGACAGGACATTTTCGGCATTCTTCATATCAAAGTTTTCGTCCTTTTTACCAGCATAATAGTTACCGATCATTATACAAAATTGTGGTGTCTTTCTCGTCCCTCTGCTTTAACTACAATTGAAATTTTGCAGTTATCGGACTATAATAGCTAAGAATCCGGTAAAAATTAAAGGGTGAGATAAAAAACTGCAACGAAGTCAAACGCCATAATTTTTAAATTTGTTTTTTCATTTTTATTGAATGAACCAAAAAATGTCGGAAATAGCATCAAATTTTGGAATAAGTTTAGATTTGTTCAAATTGGTCAACTTTGGCATGAGTTATGACCTTCAAACGGCCAATGAAACCGTCACACTCTCCCCGAATGTTGCTCTGCCATATTTTGGCCCATTCCCGGCGAAGCGCTTGCTTGAGGTGATCGACACTTTGGTATTTTTTAGTGCCAACCTTGCATTCCAAAATACTCCTGACACAATAGTCCAACGGATTGGTATCCGGAGATTTTGGTGGCCATTGTGCGCTGGAAATGAAGCGAGGGAACTCATTTTGTAAACATTCTTAGGTGGCGCGTGCTGAGTGCGATGGTGCAGAATCCTGTTGAAATTTCCAGGTTTGCGGCCAAAATGTTTGCGTGCCCAAGGCTCTAATACACCCTCCAGAATATTTTCGCGATAATATTCGGCATATATTCTGATGCCATGGTCGATTAATACGAGTAGAGAGCGACCATCGGCTGTTATGGCGGCCCACACCATCACTATGGCCAGCTGACCTCTTTGGCAAGTAAACACGATCATTTTGTTTGTTTACAAAATCAAAATCGGCCGTTCACCACTTTCGGCCAAGCGAAGCAACACTTTAGCTCTTTTGAGTATATTTTCTTTCTGTTGCGGAGTAAGTTCTTGCACTTTTTGCAATTTCAATGGCTTTACCACGAGTTCATTTTTCAATATTTGACGAATGAAATATTGCGATATGTTCAGCTCACAAGACATTTTTCGGTCACTGCGACGCGGTTTTCGAACAAGTCGCTTCTTTACTTTTCGAACCATTTCTGTTGATGTTGCCTTTTCTTCAGTCCACTTCCTTGACGTAGGGCTACGCTACCAATATCACGGTAACGAGCGATGGTACGAGAGACAAACGATTTATTATTTATATTTATATAGGAGGTACAAGAAGGAGTGGGCCGATTTGCCCATCCCCGAACTCGAAACGAAATGACGGTTCCAAATTACTAAATTTGAAAGCATCCTGGTTTGTTTGGATTGAAGTCAAAGCGATACTTCAGGAGGATGTGCCACAACAAGCAATTGCAACTTGCCACCAATACAGCATTAGCCAGTGGTCTCTACTTGAAACCTCAATGCAATAGAATGCTGATATACTGCCGACAATGAAACGATAACTACGCAATTCAAGTCCACATTTATGACTAGTCTTCTTGTAGTAAAGTGGGTCAGAAGGCGATTGTGCAGCACGAACCTATGCCATGGGTACGTCTACTTTTATTTCTTTCTGAACGTTCCTCTTGCGTTTGAGAATCACGGACATTCATATGAACTACCGTAGAGCATTGTCGTCAATATGCCCATTGTTTTTAAAGTGATATTTAAATGTGAGAGAGATTCTACTCATCAAACCCATTATGATAATATATTAATGGTTTTCGGGTCCTAAATTTAATTGGTTTAAGAACTGGGAGTGACCATTTATTGAACCCACCAAATCATTGTTGAAGTTACACCTACTAAATTTTAATGCGATCTCATCACTGCAAATATTTTAAAAAAGTGCGCATGGTCGGTCCATCCGTCCATCCTGAATCGATACGTTCATTGTTTGAAAGAACAAGCGTCTTTAAAGATGGGGCATGTAAAGGGTATCATGCCCCTTCGAATTAAAAAAAAAAACAAAAAAAAATAAGATCTTTTTTTCACCACGGTAAATTCCTCAATGTTCTGTGAACATTTCAGAAAAATCACACATTTTGCAACACAACCATGAATTTCAAAGAAATGTCGCAATACCTCCCAGAGTTGTTCAAGCCAATACACAAGCAGCTATTTATCTTTCAAATCAGATATGAGATCAGTTTTACCATACACAAAATAAACACACAAAATATACCTGCACCATTTGAAAAAAATTCCAAATTTCAAAAAAAAAAAAAAAAAAAAAAACAGTAAATAAAGTCTTATATCGGGCGGGTCGATTTTATGATACCCTACACCACATAACAAATAAAAGTTTTATATGGAATTTGTGAAAATTAAATCATACAAACTCATATATGACAGGAATATTCTCCCCTGAATCAATTTCAACCACATTAGCCGAGTCATTTCGGGCTTGTATTTCTCATTTCCCGATTAACTTGAAATCGGATAAAGTTATATATTTGAAGCTATACCCAAATCTGAACCGATCTAGATAACATTTACCAAAGGTATTTCTAAGCTGCATTTGATATATTTCCCAAATATCAATGTTGCATAGTGCATAATACGACTGCGGAGGACAAAAATAACAAATCGGATGAACAATATATATGGAAGCTATAGCTGTATCTAAGTCGATTTCGATTAAATTGGTGTAATTATTTTCAGGCCTAGAACAGACGGATCGACTCAGAATGAGATTCTATGCAGATCATCAAAAGGAACTATGGGTATATCTCCTTTCTTTTTGCCTGTTACAAACAAATGCACAAAGATGTAATACCCGGGCCGCTTTATAGTGTAGGGTATAAAAAAAATCGGGTCTATGCGAAGACGTGGTACTGCAAAAACAATTTTCTACCATAGGCTGTAGTATCCATTACAAACTTCAAATACCAAATTTGAAACAATTTCGGTGAATAATTTCGCTTAAATCATCAAAGTACTGAATATCGGGAGGTACCGTTATATGTGGGCTTTACAAAGGCATGTACCTGCATAGACAATGTTCCTCCATAGCGAACTTTAAATACGAAATTCAAAATAAATCCGGTTAATAATGTCGCTAAAATCATCAAAATACCAAATATCGGGAGCTATCGTTATTTGGGTCGTATAGCTCCCAAATAATTGCATATACAATTTTTCGTCATAGGTTGAAGTACCCATTACGAATTTTATATACGAAATTTGAAACAATTCCGGTGGATAATGTCGCAAAAATCATTAAATTTCACTTCCAAGGGTAAGGTATTCAGAAGGAACTCCTTTTGTGGATTTAAGACAATTTCATTGAAAACTGTGGCTAAATGGTGGATAAATGGGGGCTATACGATATCGGGGAGCGATATACCCCATCTTCGAAATTGACCTGCATGCAGACAAAAGATCTGTGCAAAATTTTAGCTTCCTATCTAAATTAGTTTTGACGCTAGCGTGATTTCAACAGACTGACAGATGGACAGACAGACAGGGCTAAATGGTGTTCAAATTTTACTCCGATCAAGAATATATATACTTTGTTAAGTATAAAATATTATTTCGATGAGTTACAAACGGAATGACGAACTTAATACACTCTTTATACTATGTATGGTAGAGGGTGTAACAAATGTTAGATTACGGACAAATTAATTGGATTATTTAGCTTGACACATCAAAACAATCATTTTATTAAATTTTGGGTTGGTCCCTGTGTGTCTTAAAAAGGACATCCAGTGGGTCTAGTAGCCACACAATAACGGGAATATGGATCAAAATATGTACTTCCAGGGCAAGTGTAAATTTGACCAGACCATGTGCCATTGCGGGTAAGGAAACAGTAGACATAACTGAAATGAAATGACGTTAAAGAAAAACTGAACTATGTTATGCAAGTGGATCGCCTTACTTCCTGCAAGTGTTATCGACTTCGGCTGGCAGAGTAAATCTGGCATTTATGCGTATTATTTGACATAGATACTGAGCATACGTTGGCAAGGTTGAAGGTGTTGTAAGACTGGGAAAAGTCGGACTTGTTGTGGTCGTAGTTGTGCAAGTTGCAGTTACCTTAAAATTAAACAGAAATCAGTTATAAAGTCAACTAGCAAGTGTCTATTAGACCTACCCCTGCCGCGGCGGGAACACACATTTCAGCAAAATTTGTGTTACACACCAAATTTGTACCACAACTACCACGGCTGTGGTTGAGGGTACACTTTTCCCAGGCACAAAGCGTAGGTGTTGGTTCCTGTGCAGGCAAATGTTAAATTTGTCGAACACACATTGCAACTGCCACAGGATGCTGGAATATTCATTGTCGTTGAGACACAAATTGCCGATGTTGTCGTGGAGCACACATAACCCAAGGGGCAACTGCTTGCACTTCCAGTCGGGAGATTATTCACACAAAACTGATATTCGGTTTCCGAAACACACGCCATTTGAGTGGTATTAGTACAGACATTGCATTCGGCAGCCAGGACTCCATTTTTGATTTCAAAAGCAAAATTAGCTGGAAAACAAACTGTTTTGAGTAGTTCTATTCCACATCGATAAGTTATGACCTACAAGTAAGAATTTGAAAATTGCGAAAGACAACATCTTTAGTTTCTGCTGCAGTTTTAACAACTAATGATCTGCAAGTTGTTGTATCAACTTGTAATTAATCTGCTGCAGTGCGTTTTATCTAATCTGCAGATTTACGGGTTTGTTTTCTCTTAAACAATCTGTAAATGGGCTTCATAAATAATGGAATAAACCATGGGTAGATACTGTAAAGATATTTACAGAATATATTTAATGACAATAAATAGTATTATTAAGTGTACTTACATTTGTCATTGACGTTTACCTACTTGTAAAGGTTAAATACATCCAAGAAGTTCGACATGTTGCAAATTGTAGGCCAAGTTTTAATACTTGGCCTACAATTTGCAACATGTCGAACTTCTTGGATGTATTTAACCTTTACAAGTAGGTAAACGTCAAAGAAGGACGGGATCGACTATTTGATACTTTACTAAACTCTGGTTTGGTTTTTATTTATTTATTTATTATTTGAAGTAGACCATACCACCTATCAACATTTGGCTATAGAGCAGTTATAGTTTGGTTTCAGAGGGAACTAATGTTTGGGAGGCATCTCCAATTCTAAATCGATTTTCACTAATTTTGACGGAGACATTTTAATCTTTTATACCAAATAACATTGCTATAGAGTGCATGATATCACGTTAAGAAAGATTGTATTAAAAAAATATACATCGGACCCAAGTTCCACCAAATGGAAACGAACGTCCCAAAATTCACTCCATTTGGGCTAATATTTGCCATAATTGGCACAATAAACTTGAAATCAGATTAAAGATTTTTATGGGAGTTACATCCAAATCTTAGCCGATCTAGATAAATTTTAAAAAAGGTATTTCCGAGCTCTATAAGATATCTTGTACCAAATATCATTGTTATCGAATGGATATTTCGAATTTGAGGGACTTAAACACGAAATCGAATGAAACGTACAGGGTGAAATGAAAAAAACTGCAACTAACTTCAGACTGCTGTCATTTCTAACACAGCTGTTAAAATTATTCCAGTGACAGCTCATTATATTGTTTACAGACGTACAAAAGCATTTTGGTGAGAATTTTCCACAAAAAAAAGTTATTCTTAATGGAACTCAAGCGTTATAGTTTAATTTCTTTATATTTGGCTAGAAAACCATAGGAGGCTATCGTTACAGCACTCCAGTATTAAATGTGAATAAATATTTTGTGTCTCGTACCATCGCTCATTACCGTGATACTGGTAGCGTAGCCCGACGTCAAGGAAGAGGAGGAAAAAACATCAGCAGAAATGATTCGAAAAGTACACAAGCGACTGGATCGAAACCCGCGTCGCAGTGGCCGAATGGCTCGTGAGCTGAACATATCGCAATATTCCATTCGGCAAATGTTGAAAAATGAGCTCAGTGTAAAGCCATTGAAGTTCAAAAAGTGCAAGAACTTACACAGCAACTGAAGAGAATAGATTCAAAAGAGATAAAGTGTTGCTTCGCTCCAATTGAAATAGGGTGAGATAAAAAATGCAACAAAGTCAAACGCCATAATTATTAATACTTTTTTTTTTAAATTTTATTGAATGAAAGCAAAAAATGTCGGAAATAGCATCAAATTTTAGAACAAGTTTAGATTTGTTCGAATTGATCACCTTTGGCACGAATTGTGGCCTTCAAACGGCCAATTAAACCGACACACGCTGTTAGAATGTTCCTCTGCGGTATTTTGAACCATTCCAGGCGAAGCGCTTGCTTGTGGTGATCGACACTTTGGTATTGTTAGTGCCAACCTTGCTTTCCAAAATACTCCAGACACAATGGTCCAACGGATTGGAATCCGGAGATTTTGGTGGCCATTGCGCGCTGGAAATGAAGCGAGAAACCTCATTTTGTAACTATTCTTGGGTGGCGCATGTTGAGTGCGATGGTGCTGAGTCCTGTTGGAATGTCAAACAACCTCCAGAATATTTCGCGATAATAACCGGCATTTATTCTGATGCCACTGTCGATTAATACGAGCGGAGAACGATCACCGACTGTTATGACGGCCCACACCACACCATCACCTTGGTCGGCGTTAGAGTTCAGGTGGCCAACCGAACGTGCACATTTTCAGCTCACCTCTTTGGAAAAACTGTTGGACAACGAATGTGTTCTCATCGGAGAAAACCAAATTCGGCAGTTCACATCTTTCGTCCAAGCGAAGCAACTCTTTAGCTCTTTTGAGTATATTTTCTATCTGCTGCGGTGTAAGTTGTTGCACTTTTTGGAATTTCAATGGCTTTACTCCGAGCTCATTTTTTAATATTTGCCGAATGGAATATTACAATATGTTCAGCTCACGAGCCATTTTTCGGCCACTACGACGCGGGTTTCGATCAAGTCGCTTCTGTACTTTTCGAATCATTTTTGCTGATGTTGCTGTTTTCTTCGGTCCACTTTCTAGACGTCGAGCTGCGCTACCAGTATTACGGTAACGAGCGATGGTACGAGACACAAAAGATTTATTCACATTTAAATGCTGGAGTGCTCTAACGATAGCCACATGTGGGTTCCTGCGAAATATAAAGAAATCACACTATCACGCTTGAATTCCATTTCGAATAACTTTTTTCTGGGAAATTCTCACCAAAGTGCTTTTGTACGCTTGCAAACAATATAATAGGCTGTCACTGGAATAATTTAACAGCTGTCGGACGAGTGGCTTTGAAACGACAGCAGTCTGAATTTGGTTGCAGTTGTTCATCTCACCCTGTATTGTCCCACTGAATCTGTGTGTGAATCTAAATCAAATATGTCGAGAAAATAATAAAAAATTGTAGAGTTTTAAGATATACAATTTTTTTCGAACATTTGTATCCCAAAACTCTTTGTTTTGGAGAATAATCCGCAATCCGAATTGCGTTTAACTCCAAATTCCTTTTTTGCTCACATGGAATATATGGGATATTCGTATAGTTTGTTTGTAACTACAAACTCTAGCCCCGTATGCAGATTTGTGGAAATTTTGGCAATTAGTGTATTTTTTGACAGGTCTACAGCATTAGAGCTAATTATACTTTACGCCACATAGCGATAAGGGTATTACGTCTGTGTGCAGTTGTTTGCCACATGAAGGAGAAAGCGAGATAGAGCCATAGTTCCTTTTGAGAATCTTCATAGAATCACTTTCTGAGTCGATTTATGAATGTCAGTCCGTCCGTCCATTAATTATCCGATTTAGATGACATTTTCCAAACAATATTTGTTTGGCCCAAGGACGAACCCTACTGAAAATGGCGAGAATCGGTTCAAATTTAGATATAGCTCCCATATATATCTTCAACCGATTTCGGGCAAATGTGCACCAAATGGCCAATTCATTCCAAATGACCTGAATTTTAGCACATCCGATCCAATTCAGCTTGAAAGCACTATTGAGCTCCCATATATATTTTTATCCGATTTGGTAAATCCCTCACCTGCTTAATTTGCAATTTGCAACAATGATATTGATACTGGACATCAGACAAAGCTCGAAAATAACACAGCCAAATTTATCGTAATATAATATGTAATATCAGCCCGAATTTTACCATTTTGTGAAATTCGATCCAATATATTATTATCATATCATGGACTATACGGCAATGTTATTTGGTCATAGTTGGTATGATCTACCTTACGTAACTTCCCAAAATAAAGGTTTTTGTTACGGGAGCTCTACTAAATATGCATAGCGGTGTAGGGTAGGCCGATTTTTGACCTTTTCTTACTTGTATACATATATATGACCAATCTACGTACCTCAAAAAATTACTTGTTCAATTTATAAGATACGGGTCTAAATTGGCAGAGTAGCGCGGTACGGCCCCTCCTATTTTTTAAGGTTTTGATTATTTGTTTTATTTTATCTTTTATTGTCAAATGCTTAGCTAACTATGGAGATTGATTGTGGTGAAAGTAGATTACTTTTACAATTTCCCCAGAATTATATCTCTAGAAATTACATGACAGTACACTAGATCAACCCATAAAAATATGCGATAAGATATAGGAAGATTCTTGATTCTTCATATAAACTGTGTGAAAACTATGAATTGCAGTTCGTTATTCGTTGCCACTGCAGATAGACAATAGATCAAAATGAATCTCATTTTAAAAATTGGCGGGGTAAGTGAATTATTTCAAATTTCCAAATTTTATTTTTAAATCCATATTTCGGTTTCAGTTATTTGCGGTTGTCTTCCTGATATCCTTGATGGCAACCGATACAGGTGCTGATTGCAACGTCTGCAATGCTGGCAGTAATACAGCCTGTGTCTCAAAGAACGAATACAGGCAATGCAACTCAAGCAGCAAACCATTTGGAAAGTTGTACGAATGCAATGAGGGTTATTTTTGTTCCATTTGGGCACATGTTCCGACGTACCAGAACTAGCCGAATGTAATGACTGTGGAAAGTGTGATGCAACTAAAACGTTTGCTTGCACTGGTACAAACACATTTAGTCTATGTCTTGGAACTGATAACACAACAGATATTGGGCTCAGTGCTCCGGCAATTTGGTGTGTAACGCAAATGATCCTCGGATATGTGTGGAGGTGTGTTAACAAAATTCCTTTCAAATTGTATGAAATTCAGTATTGATCTGAGCATTTTTCAGGATGCAGCAACCTGTTCATTTAGGGATGACCCTACGACGACCACGACAACGACCACAACAGAAGCAACCACAACCTCAACGACAACACCTTCGCCCAAAGAAGATCCCGCAGGTTTTTGTGCTGTAATTCAACAGGAAGGCCGTTTTCCAGTTGGTACAGATGATGCAACTACATGCCATCAGTAAGATCATAGAATTGAAGGAGAAATGTAGGTGTCTGACACTGATTTTAACATTTGTTTGTATGTTTCCAGATATGTTCACTGTTTGAATGTCAATGGCGTTTGGTATGGACCAACTTATAATTGCCCCGGCAAATATTTTATGACAGTGCCCTGAAATCATGCGTGCCAAAAATGCCAGCACATTGTGGCCCCAAAGTCTCAGGATTATCGTTCCGTAGTATTTTATTGGAATGATTCCAAGCCTAGTGATAATAATAACTTTTATTCACCTGCATTTTGGATTTGTGCATTGATTTCGTTTTAATAAATGGCATATAAATGCACTTTCTATAGCGGCATTTAAAATCCGGAGATTTTCTCAAACGTATTATATGGTTTTATGCCTAGGTTCACATGTTACATATCCGTCCGACATGTTACATTCCTCGATCCCTAGTTATTAAATATCTACTTAATTTCCACACAAATTTTACGAGCAAATATTAACTTTTGTTTTTTGTTCCTTTCTAATCACTCTCAGAACTAAAACAAGTATAGAAAGGTCAAAAGACAAGGAGACAACTTTATGATATCCCACGCCACTAAGAATATTTAGTAGAGCTACCCGTAACAAATAAACATTCATATTGGGAATTATCGTACCAACTATGAATGTTTATTCCCTACAGGGTGAGATAACAACAAGTAAAAAAACATTAAGTTCGGCCGGGCCAAAATTTTGATACCCTCGACCTCAGGGTAAAGGAAACATTAGAGCCTATATACCAATTTTAGACATATTCATGGGAAAATGTGCCAAAAGTCATCAAAATACCGAATATCGGGAAATTCGGCTATGTGGGGCTATACAAAAACGTGGACCTATACATACAAATACCAATTTTTGGACAAATCAGTGAAAAAATGTGGCAGTAACCATCAAAATAACGAATATCGGGAGATACCGTTATATGGGGGCTATACCCAATCGTGGACCCATGCATGCTTTGTTTCGCCACCGTAGCTGGAACCTATTATGACCAACAAATACCAATTTTTAGACAAATCCGTGAAAAAATGTGGCAAAAAGGTACCTTTATATGGGGGCTATACCAAAGCGTGGACCTATACATGCAATGTCTCGCTAAACGAGCTATGACCTACAAATACCAATTTTATAGACATATCCGCGAAAAATGTGCCGAAAATCATCAAAACACTGAATATCGGTAGGTACCGTTATATAGGGACTATACCAAAACGTGGACCGAAATATTCAATACCAACCATCCTAGACACAATACAAATTGCTCTGCTAAATTTTTGCGCTCTACGTCAAATAATGGGCTGTATCGTGATTTCAACAGACAGACAGACGGACATCGTAAAATCGACTTAGATTTTATGCTGATTATGAATATATATACTTTATGGGGTCTACGACGAATATTTAAGGATGTTACAAGCGGAATGACAAAGTTAATACACCTCTTTTCCAAGTTGGAGGGTATAAAAATGCAAAATTAGAATAAGTTTAGATTTATTCGAATTTGTCACCTTTGGCATGAATTATGGCCTTCAAACGGCCAATGATGCTGTCCGAATGCTCTGCGGTATTTTGGCCCATTCCCGACGAAGCGCTTGCTGGAAGGGATCGACACTTTTGTATTTTTTAAGTG